CAGCTTTAGCCACACCTCCGCTGGCTGTGACTGACACAGCCTTCATAAAACAAATGATTTCTTTTTCAATCAGATGTTACAATACAGTGAGTTTAAGCATGTCCTGCTCTGCAAATTGAACTTTAATCACAACCACGCACACGAGGCTTATGCAAGTTATTAACAGAGTAGAATATGAGAACTTATAAATTAAACACACTGAATAGTAAAGCAAGTTTAAGTCCTGCAAGTTGTGAGGTGGGACCTCAGTGGATCAGATTGTTCCAGCTCATCCCACATATGCTCAATTGGATTGAGAGCTGGGGAATTTGGAGGCCAAGGCAACAACTTGAACTCTTTATCACTTTCCTCAAACCATTCCTGAACAATTTTTGCAGTGTGGTATGTTGCATCATCCTGCTGAAGGAACCCACTGCCATCAGGGAACACTACTGCCATTAAGGAGTGTATGTGGTCTGCAACAATCTCTAAGTAGGTGGTACGTGTCAAAGTAACATCCACATGAATTCTGGGACCGAAGGTTTCCTAGCAGAACATTGCCCAGGGCATCACTGCCTCTGATGGCCTGTCTTGCAGTGCATCCTGCTGCCATCTCTTCTTCAGGCAAATGACCCACACGCACCCAGCTATTAACCTAATTTAAAAGAAAATGTGATTCATCAGACCAAACAACTTTTTTCCATTGCTCCATTATCCAGTTCTGATGCTCACATCCCCATTGAAGGAACTTTTAGATGCGAACAAGGGTCTTTATGGGCACTATAACTTGTCTGTAGCTTCACAGCCCCACCTTTCTATAATGGCCAGCATTAAGTTTTTCAGCAATTTGAGCTACAGTAGCTATTTTGTGTGATCAGACCAGACAGCTAAGCCTTCATTCCCCTTGTGCATCAATGAGCCCTGAGCCCATTACCCTGCCACCAGTTCACGGGTTCTCCTTCCTTGCACCATTTTTGGTAGGAATTCACCACTGCATACAGGGAATACACCACAAGGCTTGCGGTTTTGGAGATGCTCTGACCCAGTTGTCTTGACATCAATATTTGTCTCTTCTCAAAGTCACTCAGATCTGTTTGCTTGCCCATACTTCCTGCTTCCAACACATAAAGGTCAAGAACTGACTTGCACCTCTTGACAGGTACCATCGTAGCAATATAATCAATGTTATTCACTTCACCTATCTGTGGTTTTAATGCTGTGGCTGATCAATGTATCTGTCAACTCCTACTCATTTACATATATCCACCCTTTCATATAGCCACTCATGTAAAAGGTGTAGGTGTCCATTTCAAGTACCCTTGATGGATGAATACTTTACAATGTAGTCACATTGACATATCTAGTCCTTTTCAGTGCCAATTAACCTATATATACCCTCCAACTGTAAATGTGCATACTCCAAATCTACATGAGCCAGTGATAACTAACATTTGCCATGCAAGCCATGGTTGACATTTTTTCCATGATGCTCAACCAGTAGTGAAACAATCAAGATCTTCCAAAATACGCATTACTTCAATAGGTAAAAACCTATTCCCCTACTGCTGTAGCACCGAGAGTCTGTTGTTGACCAGTTTTCGTACATGCGCTATTTTTTAAATCCACAGGGAGCTGAGGGAACCAGTTGTGTGTTTTTTTTTTTAAAATACAAACATTTGCGAATTCATGGCCTTATTAAATGTAACATTTTCCTCTAAAAGCAAAACTTGTTTTTCAGGTTTGAAATAATATTTTTCAGAAATGGTTTGTGCCTCTTCGATTTACTCCAAACCTACACTTTTAAAGATCAGGACTTTAGAAAATTGGTGACTTTCACAATAAAATGTAAAATAATGGACCATTATTCTGAAATGCCTGGGCGGCATGCAGAGCGTATTTCTACAATAATTCTGTATCTTCTTTCTGAATTAAAGGTTATTTATCATTCTTTTATTAAAATTTGCCTATTTTGGAGATTGCAGTATACCATATAAGTGCTCTTATTGCAATCCATGAAATGGGAATGGAAAATGTCAAGAATTATCAAGATAACTGTGTATAGTTTCCAATAATTTCAACCTGATTACCAACTTCAATTGATGAATTTTATTTTATTGAGCATCAATCCTACTAATTGTCATTTTTTTTGTTATTTGTTTTTGGCACATTCTAATTGCTTACTAAAATTTAGTTTTTTTAATTAACCATTCCTTTTTCTTTGACAATACCAATCATTTTTATCTTTCTAGTTTGCACTTACATTAAATTCAACACTGGCATTCAATGACTGTGGATATCTGTGCAGGGAATCATGGGAAAATGAATGTCATACAAACATCATTTAAGAAATAGGGTGGCACCTCATTATTCGTTTCTCATTATCTCCACAGTATGTTTTAGCAGAAATGTAAAGGACTATGTAAACACCACCTTTACCCTTCATTTCATCTTTACCTTGACTATTTTATATTTGGTTTTGTCTCTGCATTTTTCAGCTTATATAGGCGACAGAGAACAATGTTACATGAGAGTAAAAGTGAAGGTAGTAAAGGGAGGAGATGTTCAAGCACTGGTACTCTGTTATTAACATGGCAAGTAGCAGAATAAAGATTATCTACATTCAAGAAAGGGAGGAATTCAACACACAACAAATACTGGCTTTAATCAGCCGTGAAAACCTGTGATGAGTTTCTATTAACAACAAAATTGCTGTACTGCATCTTCCATATTTTAGCACAACATTAAGCTATTTTTGCTCCATTCGGTTGACATTGGCTCATTACTACTGTTTTCCCTCATAACCCATGTCCAGATGGACGTGGTACGTTTCTTTCAAACTGTTAAGATGGGTCTGAACACAATGTACAATAATGATAACGCTTTGACGTTGCCAGCGAAACCCTTGGTTTCACTGAATTTGGTTTCTAAGCTACAGTTCCTGTTTAATGCTATCTCTTCTGATGATTCCAGCTGTTTTTTCATCTGCAGGTCATTCAGTGCTTCTACGTTGGTTTTTATGAATTATGGGAATAGCAGCAAATTGAAAAAGCAGAGGTGCCTGCTATCATGAACCAATGAAGGGCTCGTCTATTCAACTTAAGCACTATGTGTACCTTCATAACGTGTAATTTGTCAGCAACATAACTCACATCATTGTGATGTATATAATCTAAACAGGAGTGAAGAGGACAGAGTGTATGGGTCTGTTTTGCCAACAGTGTCCTACATTTTGGATTCTTGTTTCATTATTAAATGAATGTCAATTCCTCTAAAATCTCCTCAGTTAAGATTTCTAGTGGAACTACTGGATCTTTCTGATTAGCATTGTTTTAAAAAATAAAATATTTATTTTGCAGGTGGTGAGCAGTTAATATTTGGTGGAGCGAGTCGGAGTCACTTATTTCACTGGATGAAGTAAGATGATATCGATGATGCTAAGAACAGATCGGCCAATCAGTGGCAGTGCTACTATGTGTAATGCTATGAGATAATGAATTCAGGACAGTTGGGAGGTTAGCAACAATTATTGAATTACATGTCACTACTGCACAACAGTGGGAAATTATAATTACTGCACTTTTTCCGAAGAGGTTTGTGAGATATAGTGCTCACAAAAACGCTCCTGTACAGCTCTCAGATATCTCCAACAAAAATGATGGCATGATTTCAAATAACAATATACCAGAATTACTGAGCTGGAAAAATTCTTCAACTCAGTTATTTTTCCAGCTTAGTTATTTTGAATTAGCAATTCCATTTTTAGTGAGCAAACCCTTTCATTAAAACCACAAGACGTGTAGCAAATTGTCCACCAAGGTAACACATTGCCCTATACATCTCTTAACTGCAAATAGAAAAATGAGCAGAATTTGCGTGTCCCATAAACCCTAATACACTATTTATTCCCAATTTCATCACATACACATATTATATGCCTCCCTTTTATCAATTAACTACATAACATAACCTTTAAATCAATGCATCTATGGTAAATAGTGATGTCGCGAACCGTCCACGAACTTCTCGCAAACGGTTCGCCACGGTTCGTGGCGAACCGTTTGTGGCGAACTCCGGTCAGCTGACACATCCCTGCCAATCTCCGGCAGACCCTCCCTCCCAGACCCTCCCACCTCCTGGACAGCATCCATGTTGAAGCTGCGAGAAGTTCGCGGACGGTTCGCGACATCACTAATGGTAAACAATAATTACTGTGACAAGGCCTTTGTACATGTATTAAACAGACATGTCTTTATCATTACAATCAGATACATCTCTCAAGTAGTCAAACAGAATAACATTTCTTTTATATATGCATAATGTGTTATTAAGATATTGTATGTAATATATCACATGTGCTATAACTTATTATTAATTATTATTAGAGTAGATGAGTTAGAAATGTTTTGGCTAGTTTTTTATTCTAGTATATGCAAGTTGCCAGTGAGATTAAAAATAGAGAGGATTTCAGAAATAAATTTATTTAAGCTATGTGTACATGTTCTTCCTGTCTTCCTGTAAGCCATCTTTGCATTTTTTTGTCTCCCTCCCTCCTCTTCTTTTCCCGTAAGGCAGCCGTATAACAATCGGGACATAACACGTCTTTGGATTGCTTAGCATACTGTGCATTATGCAGATGTTTAATACGGTATGTCTGCTAACATTAATTATTCCTTTATATGATTCCAGTATGATTACATTTGTTAGAACCCTGCAGGGCTCCAAGGTCATCATGCTCAAATATTAAAAGTATTAAGAAAAAAAACAAAAAAAGACAAGATGAAAAATGTTTGTTACCATTTGGCCAGCTGTAATTAGACTTTATCTCCAATTATTGACTTACAGTAAACTAGAAAACATGAATAAAAAGAATTCAACGTGAATTTCAAATTTAAAGAAACACTATAGTGTTAGGAATAGTGATGTCCCGAACTGTTCGCCGAACGGTTCGCAAACGGTTCACCACGAACGGTTCGCCATGGACTCATCATTGAGTAAACTTTGACCCTGTACCTCACAGTCAGCAGACACATTGCAGCCAATCATCAGCAGACCCTCCCTCCCAGACCCTCCCATCTCCTGGACAGCTCACTAAGAATGCAGCTTCACAATGGATGCTGTCCAGGAGATGGGAGGGTCTGGGAGGGAGGGTCTGCTGATGATTGGCTGGAATGTGTCTGCTGACTGTGAGGTACAGGGTCAAAGTTTACTCAATGATGAGTCCGCGGCGAACCGTTCGCGAACCGTTCGCCGAACAGTTCGGGACATCACTAGTTAGGAATAAAAAAGTGTGTCCCTCTGCCCCCGAGCCTGCCCAGCCATTAAAGGGTTAAATAACTCTTAAAACACTTACCTTGGCATTGGGTTGGGCTCCTCTGATGTCAGATGATGGGGGTAAATAATGCACATGCACGGCGAGCACCGCACACACTGGTAAACAGCCACTAGATGCCTTCTTAACCTTGTAATATAAACCTAGTATATTCATAATACATTGCAAGGCTAAGGAGACATGGACACTCCTACCAAACCACTTCAATGAGATGACGTGGTGCCTATAGTGTCCATTTAAGGCCAAAGTAGCTGAACTTGAAACATAGTTGACTTAGAGAATTTTTCTAGTTCAGCTAGTTTCACCTTAAATTTAAAAATTCAATTTTATTTCTCTTTGAACTCTGACTTTAGTGAATAAACGTGTGTATAAAACAATTTTAGATTTCTTACCAGCACATTTAGTCCTAGTTCTCAATGCTGGACCTGGAGAACCAGTCCCTCCTTCTCCTGGCCTGGTTAACAGGACGCTTATTTCATATTCTGTGTCAGGATCCAGGTGTCCTATCTTATAACTAGAAGAGTCCACTGGTTGAATGTCATACCAGCTTCCGCTAGTAGTACGATACTCAACCTCTCTCTGTATGATGGGTCCGTCTCCATTGATCGAATTTGCATTAAGCTGTATCCACATATATGTAGCTCCCACAGATGAAAGCTGAGGTGGAGCAATGGGAACAGGAGGTTCTGTGAAAAGAAAGACATCTCTGTTAGTTGTCAGGCATTCTAATCATTCTAATTGTTGAAATGTATTTTACCACTTAAAATGAAATTATACAATTACCTCTCTTAATGGGGAACTTCTCCCTTAATATATCTTGATCCCTAACATACTAGCAGATAGGTACAGAATTTTCTGCAAGCCAAGAATTCAGTGAAACTATTTTTTGCAGAATAGAGAAAAACACAGTATACTCCTTTTTCAAATTACATGCTGTAAAATGCATGTTACTGTAAAGTCATTCATTTCGTCAAGTGCGCTTAAATGGATTCTACAGTGTTAGGAATACAAATCTGTATACTTAACACTAGAGCACCCTCATCCCCACCCTCCCTTGCACTCCTTCACCGCGTGGCACATAAAGGGTTAAAACCCCTTATTTTCACACGCGATTCCAGCACTGATGTCCCTCTGTGCTGGGTCGGCCCTCTGCCTTGTCTGAAGTCATCTGATGGGGGGATCAATGCACTTGCACGGCAAGCACCACAAGCGCATTAGGCCATCCCCATAGAAAAACATTAAATCAATGCTTTCCTATGTGAATTTTAATGACGCTGGATACCCTCATGCACAGCGTGAGGAAATCCAGAGTTGTTTAAGGGACACAGAGATTAGGAAATGCTTCTAGTGGCTGTCTGTCTCAAAAACTGTCATGTTTTACATTGCAGAACTAAGGAGGACAGGGACACCACTCCCAGACCACTTCAATGAGATGAAGTGGTCTGGGTGCCTATAGTGTTCCTTGAAATTTACCTTAAGAACCAACAATAGCCTAAAAAAAACAACATTTACATAAATCTGTTCCATGGGGATATCAATAAAATTTCAACTATTGTCATTCCAAAGAACCTGTCCTATTTCACAATTCTGGAACAAAAACACCTTTATTCTCTAAACAATACACTGCAGTGATTTGAAATAGAAAAATTGTAGTCCAAGATAGCTGATCAAGAACAATTTGGCTACAGTGATAGCTTGACTCCGTTATCCTCAATTTTGTCGTTCAGATTTCAGTTCATTACAGTTTGGATTTTAGGGAGTAAAACCCTAATATATCTGTTTCTGGGTACATATTCATATAGATTGATTGTTCCCAACATTGCTAACAAGCTATTTTCTATCCTCATACTAAAAACAATAATAATTCAGAATAGTTTCTCTAAAAATAAGTTGTTGATAAAGTGATTAAAAAGAACAAATTCTCATCCAGCACATGTTGCTTGCTTGTTTCCAAACATAATAAATACTAGATAGAATAGACACTACAAAAACAGAAATTAATAGAATGAAAAATAGAGACCATAATTAAAGAAGAGGCCAACATTTTAACCATTTTCTATTTAAGCCAATCTTTAAATTTTAGCATTTGTTTACAGAGCACCTGTCGCACAAAAAAACAAAACAAAAAAAAACAATCTCTTGACATTAAAGTTGACAAACAAAATAGAACAAAGTAATTGAAAAAAATACTTAAGCACAAAAAACGTTGAATTAAAGTCCAAACACAAAATATAGCTTAATAATGGATATATTGATTTTTGGCGAATGCAATCTTTTACAAGTGCTTCAAATTGTTAGAAAAACATTTGAATAAGCCATTATGACATTAAGCAGACGTTTTATATGCTTCTACAGCTGCTTCCAATGGACTAAAACTGGCATCTAAACCTGTATTCAGCAATCGTTCCCAATCAACCCAAAAGTGAATGCTCGTTAGAACAGGGCTATTGTTTTTGTAGTGATTGAGTTTATGTTTTGTGCAAGAGCCATGTGCTGTAAACACTTCTGACTAAACTCAGAATCATTTAACATCAATTTAAGTGATTAAGCGATTTCTTGAACCAGGACGTGATACAATGCCTTCATCGAGAACCCTAAGGCAATTGTGTACCCAAGCTGAAAAAAAGTTAATTACTTTCAAGTTTCCCTCTTAATTTAGCTGTGATGAACTGAAATGCAAAGTCAGGGGCAAGGTCAAAAGGGTTACTAGATACACCAATTAGTTCTCGTGGTACAATTTGTTTTATTTTATTGGGTAGTCTCTTGAGCTCTTTCAATATACTTGTAACTAACAAACAAAGCGATGTGAAAATTATGAACTCAGAGAAGCAAAAAGCTGTTTGATTGTAATGTGCATTATATTTAATGATAAATAGATTATTTATCACGGCAAACAGTGATATTTATTTAAATGAATCTACCATTTATTTACTTCCAGAATATCTCAGGATAAAGGAAATTGTAGAATAGTATAATACCAGTTTAAAAATATACATGGTACTTAAGTATACATCCATATATAATCTATATATTTTTAAAGTGGTATTATACTGTTCTACATATTTACTTTATTCTGAGAAATTCTGGGAGTAAAAAGTCACCCCTTAAAATTGCTACATAGTAGAGGGGAGTGGTTGCCCAAAAAGGACAAAAATGTTCTACATATCAGAGCTAGGTTAATTAGCTCTGGACTATGTGAGTGTTACATTAGCACCTTATTATCGTATACAATTTTTTAAGGTTTTAAGGTTTAAACGATTGTATATATTTTTACTTAAAGGGATATACACCTGACTGTCAAGACAAAAAAACAAAAGATGAATGATCGTTTTGTCTATTTTTTGTATACTACTTGCACAAGTATTGCAATTTATGGATTATATAGTGCTCCACTGTTTTTTGGTATTAAACTAATTTTTTGGTATTAAATTCTTACTGATGGAAATCATTGCACAGTTGCAACCTTCGCACTAGGAAATTTATCCTATAGTTTGGTCTCCACTATGGACTTTAATAAACAATGTATTCTCTTCCTTCCCACTGGTCTCTTACCTACTTCGCCCTAGGCTTTGTCCTCTAGTATAAGCCCCTTACGTGATTTGACCTACTTTGTGGGACGCAGACAGCAGACTTTAGAATTTCTCGCCTCTGCCTAGATTTATCATCAGTGCACTAATATACATCTATTTCACATCGTATTTGTACTGTTGGCTTACTTAAACAGGCAAACATTTATTTTTTTATTAAATAGATCTGTTTGTTTTTTACTGTATTAAAAAGTTTATATAAGTTTATGTCGGTGGCATGACAATGCATATATTACCATTAGGTGGCAGTGTAGTAGCACTATAAGCTAATACAAGATGGGGGACATCTCTCTCTGCTCCAGTTGTATACATAGATCTACCAATCAAGATTGGCAGAGTTTATGGCATAGTAAGTAAACTTGTATAGTAGTCTATAGACACAGATTTGTTTTGGGCTGAACTGCAATTCGGACAAATTTGTGCCAAAATGTAATTTAATCATAAACCAGCCAAGCTGTACGTTGCCGAACACGTTCTGTTTGATGAAAATTATTGATGCCAGGGTACAGTGGGAAATGAGCTACGTAGAGAAAATAGGAGGAGCAATAATAACAATCTACATATATGTTATATTTAATAATTATAAAACATATAAATATAGTTTTTTTTTACTGCTCTTCCTGTTTTCCTTCTATGGCTTAGTTTTTCCTCACTTGACCTATGAACCAAATTGTGAGAACAAAAAAAGTCGCAAGAGAGTGCTGAGAATGGACAACTGTTCAATTAGCCTGCTCTGCGGTGGGTCACCGCTCAGTCCTCAAGCTGCTTTTAGCTCATCTTGTGCCATTACAGTGAGAATCAGGTCATTTGCATCTCACTCAAATGGCAGAACAGATCCAAAATACAGGTCGTCTCTCTCTGTACGAGACATACAGCAACCCTAGACGATTGGTTCATCCCTGTTAGGCATCATCGGTGAGGTATAGCCGATATCCCTCTAGGCACCGTGAGCAAGGGTTCCACGTCTGGATTACCCTTTAAACTTAAGGAGAGCAAAAAAAACACATAGTAAGAGAGTGCTGAGAATGGACAACAGCTCAATTAGTCTGCCCTTCAGTGGGTCCCCACTCAGTCCTCAAGCTGCGACTATTTTTTTGCTCTCCAAATGGTGAGAAGATGCACAAACCAGTATATTTTAAAATGTATATATATTATATTGTTTAGTCATTTTGCAGCACACTGATTGTCCCATTTTCATGTTGTTTTTTGTTCTCTGGTTTCTGAGTAAGAAATTATGCTGAGTCGAATAGACATTCAGCCAA